CTCCCCTGAGGGCTGCCCAGGGCTTCACTGACACAGGCCAGCCGTCGCCGCGCTGACCCTGAGCAAGGACGGCATGCTCATCTGTGTGCGTGCACGTGCATGTGGTCGGTCTGTCTGTCTGTCTGTCTGTCTCTTGTTTGGTTTGGTTTCTGGCCAGGGTGGAAATGGGCTGTTTGGATTGGCAGGAGGGTAGGAAATGGATGTTTTAGAGAGATGTTAGATGTTTGTGACAAATCGGTGTTAGGATCTGGAAGAGAAACAGGGCGGGAGAGCTGCGAGGTCTTAGCCGTTGTTCCAAAGTTTTCTGTGCTGAAGTCTGTTCTCTGCACCTCCCGGCTCATCGCTGGGCTGGGTGTCCCCGGGGCTACGTGAAGACAAAGACCCGCCCCCTGCAATGAGCCGCAGACGCAAGTGCTGAGATGCTCCCAATGGACTTAGGCATAGTAGAGCGATCGCATTAGTTCAGGCTCCTGTGACGGCGCACGCCGACCGGGTGGCTTCAACAGCCGCTTTCTCACAGGCCTGGAGGCTGGGAGTCCAAGCTGGGCTGCTGTCTGGTGGGAGCTCCGCTCCGCGTTCCCTGGCTGCCGTCTTCTTGCTGTGTCCTCACAAGGCAGAGATCAACAATCTCCTCTGATAAGGCACAGACTCCATTACCAGGGCCCCATCCTCATGACCTAATCACCCCAAGGCCCCACCTCCAAATCTGGGGGATTAAGATGTTAGCAGGTGAATTGGGAAACATACACACTCGGTCCATCGCATTAATCAAGCTCCGGGGATGGGGATGGGGATGGGGGGGGGCGGGAGGTGAGCATGGAGGCGGCATCTCATCTGTTTCCTACTTAGCACGAACCCACCGTGTGCCCAGCAGGTCACATGTGTCCCTTCTAATCCTCCCAGTCAGGATAGGTGTTATTTACCCATTTTAGAGATTACAAAACAGAGGCACCAACTTCCCCAAATTGCACACAGAGCAAGAAGCTAAAGTGGGATATGAGTTCAAGTTTGTCTCACGCCAAAACCCAAGCTCTTTGTGCATTAGACAACAGATAGTGATGGTACCCCCCCTTTTTCTTAATTTCCGAAGATCTGTGATCATTTATGGGTATAGAGCAAGCGTTCTCACACCTTAGCGTGCATCAGCATCCCAGGAGGTCGCACCCAGGCGCTCCTTCTCCCGTGGTCTAGAACGGGGCATGAGAGCCTGCATTGCTCACACGTCTCCGGGCGGTGCCCATGCTGTTGGTCTAGGGACCAAACCCTGACGGCCTCCTCTCCAGATGGTACATCCTGGTGCTGGAGGGCCCGGTGGGATCCGATGATGGTTCAGGGACGTTGCCATGGAAACCTCTGTGGGGTGACAGGACAGTGGTAGGTCCTCGCCCTCCTGGAGCCACTCTGCCATTGGAGCAGAGCATCTCCGAGCGGGAGAAGGCGTAGAGCCCCGGGTATCGCCCTGGGCATCTTCCACGCGGCATCCAGCTCTCCCTTCAGCCTTTCCTTCCTTGTGAACACCAGGCTCCTTCCAGATGGCGGAGCCCGCGCGCCGGAGGAGAACGGCCCCTTCCTTCCGCGCCCCCTGAGAGAGGCAGAGGAGAAGTCTGCGTCATGGAAACGGGCTGGAGAGAGTCACTGTGAATTCTGTGGAGGGCAGATGTAGACTTCTGGTCATGCCTT